TTCAATTTTTATGCAATTTTACATGTTTATAAATATTTACTATAATTATATTATTTTATAAAATATTAAAAATTAAATACCTATGGGGCTTACGCCCCGTGCCTCGTGGCTTAGGCCTCGATAAGGTATATATAAAATGTCTCGCCTTACGCCCACGCCTTTTAAAACAATGGTTACTACTTGCTACCCCAAATTTCTAGCTATATCAAGTCCTTTATTTTGTCAAACTTTTGCATCTTGCAATGTGAGGTAAAAGAATTCTAGACTAACGTGGATACCCCCTATTTAGGATCAGAATTTTAATGATATAAAAGTTCTTAGTTGATTTAAATTTCTAAATATTAGGGTTCTTTAAATAAGGAAAAACTTTAATAAGTAAAATTTTAATTGATTTCAAATTCTTAAATATTAGGATATATAACTAAATGACTATTTTGTCTAGTAGAAAATCAATTTTTAAAGGATAAAAAAAGCGAACTATATTCCGCCAAGGGTATTCGTACTTTTAATATAGTATAGATATAGATATAAATAGATATAGATATAGATAGATTATAACTATCGATGAAAGTCAAAAAAATTTAAAATAATAAGATATCACATTAGAGTTTAAAAAATTAACCGAATCTAAATATCTAAAACTTACTAAAAACTATATAGTACATCCAAGAATAGTATGATCTATTGGTCAATAAAATTAGCGAAAATTATTGCTAAGCTTTAAATACCTAGTGAATAGTTAAAATGCCCAAACTAACATTTTATGGAATAAAATGGGTCCGATTTCTTTTCATGAACTAAAATATATCTGGATGACTTAAGTTTAAGCTTAATTTAGGAAATATAACACACTTCAAAAGGAAATTAAAGGGAGAAGGAAGCACTCAACTTCCCTCCCCTTGTATTCCATGAATCTAGTTACAATCTTTACATAACCCAAATGCCGAACCTAATACCTTAATTTTCCCAATCCTCTCTTCTTCAATTTCATACCACTGCTTCTCTTGCTTTCGTTTCTGCAGAGCTCTTCTCCTTACGTTGCTTTTTCAACCTGCTTCATCGCTCCTCGCCGGTGAGTTTCTCAATTTCCTGCTTCAACGCTATCTCTGCATTTATGCAATTCGTGTTTGTACAATCTCCTTCTTTGCGTCCTTGAATTTTCTCAGATCTGTGGTCTCTTCAGTTAAGATATTTGTGAATTTCTAGATTTCTTTTCGCTGTGATAGACTTATTTTGTTTTGAATGGAATTCGCCAAAATAGAGCAGAGTTTGGTATAGCCAAAACCCAGACTAATTTTTAATTAAGGAAAGTTGATTGATTGATTTTCTTTAAAGCTATTTAGGGAAGACAATTCCAGTTACATACAGTTCAACAATTTATCCATGAAACTAGTGTTATGCTACCGTTGAGATTCCTTTTAGGGTTTCGAAATTCCTATCATTTACTTAACTAGGTAAGAGAAAAGCTTGAATGTTGATTTAAAGGTGCCATCTATGATCTAACATCCCGTGGGCGCCTACCTTTAGGAAATATTTGGACTTATAACCAAATTGAAGTTATGTTTTCCTTGCTTATTTCCCCTTTGGTTTGAGACATCTCCTGGATTAGGCTCTACTGATGTATGCAGCTTGTAGTCACTTTGCCGAAGGGCAATTGCTTATGGTTATTGCTGAGGAGCTCATTAACTAGTGGTGCTCTTCAATCATGGGATGTGTTATCCAAGCATCACCTGGATGTCTTCATATTAACACCACCAACAACAAAAAACCCAGTGTAATCCCACATGTAGAGTCTGAGGAGAGTAGTATGTGCGCAGACCTTATCCCAGAGACTATTTATGATAAACCCTCGGCTCAAGGAAAGATGCAAAAGGAAGCAATAGCAACAGGCAGTTACATCAGCAAGATAACAAGAAAGCCGAAGCGAAAGATACAACATGTAATAATAGAAATCTAAAAAATAAGAAAATACAAAACTAACCTTAATATTACTGGTATGGACAAGGAAAATATACGACTACGTACTTACCTTCTACCCTAATTCTCGACCTCTACACACTCCTATCAGGGGTCATGTCCTCGGTAAGTTGAAGCAGCGCCATGTCCTATCTAATCACCTTTCCCCAATACTTCTTTGGCCTACCTCTACCTCTCCTCAGACCTACCAAGCTAACCTCTTACACCTCCTTATTGGGGCATCTGTTCCTCACCTCTTCACATATCCAAACCATCTAAGCCTCTTCCGCACTTGTCTTCCGCGGGGGCCACGCTAGCCTTGTCCCAAATATTTTTATTCCTAAAGTTATCTATCTTGGTATGCTCCCACATCCCTCTCAATATCTTCATATTACATTTTTGAAATTTATACCTAATATTTTGCACTATGTTTTTGTGGTGCTATGTATATGTGTGTATGTATGTATAGTGTAGGATCAAACCTAGTGGAGATCCTCTTGATGTTGTTTCTATGCCCCCTGGGAGATGAACTGTTAAGATAAAAAAGTATTATCTTACGTGTCCCTATTGAGTCAATCGTATTTGCGGTTTAGCTATATTAATGCCTTGTTCCAAAATCCCTAAACTAAATAGGACACATATAAGATGAATATGCCACGTCAGCTTTTTTGTCACTAGTTCATGTGTCACACCAGCTTTGTTTTTGCACAATTTTGGCATCATACTTTTCTGCAAATGAATCATGATAAATGCCTGTGTACATTAAGCTCTAATTCTAACAAATTACTCTTCATTGATAGGAAAATGGATGGATCAACAGTCCAAGGTGGGAGCAGCGTGGAGTCATTTCTACGGAACTATAAGCTTGGGAAAACTCTTGGCATTGGATCATTCGGAAAAGTTAAAATAGCTGAACATACCTTAACAGGGCATAAAGTTGCTGTCAAGATTCTCAATCGTCGGAAAATCAAGAACATGGAAATGGAAGAAAAAGGTATAGGAAAACATGTAAATAATGTTTCATTTCTCTACAAGGTCTTGATGGTTTCAAATCAATCTCTCCTTATGCTTGAAGTTGAATTTGTATTTGATTCTTAAATATGCTCAGGTTTCTAGTTAATATTGTCGAAAGGCATGCATAGAGAAGTACAATGGTCTATGGAGTTTTTTTTTTGATGAAGTAAGATGTTGCATTAAAGGCATCAAGAAGATGCAAAGAGTACAAGAAAAAGTTCAGTTTGCTCCTAATACAAAAAATTTAGGTCAGAGCTTGGAGCAAAACCAAAACCAAGAGGAAAAAACTGGCTTTTAAGCCATAGTGAGAGAGCTAATAAAATCTAACATGGAGTCTTTAAGCGCAATTAAAGCATTGGTTTGCTGAAAGGCAAATATACGGAATTTTTTTCTTTTTAAAATATACATATAATGCAAGAGAGAATAATCACAAGTACTTATACACCTTGATGCCTATGTTGAAGCACTGCCTAGGAGAAGTGAAACGCCTAGCGTACATTGCACCCAACTTCAGAGCTGGAGCGCACTTCAGACGAGCCTTTAGAAACACTCTTTCTTACTCATTCTTATGTTTTGAAGAGCGTTGTGAAACCAACTAAAAATGTGATGGCTGGTTATGGCACTTACACTTCCTCGTTCATTGCACATTGGCCCTTCCAAGCTTTAGCCTTTTCGTTTTTATTTGGGAATGGGGAGGAGGGTTGACTTAGATAGCTCGATCTTGCAAAGGTGCACCTCTAGATATTCAATGGACGGAATTAGAGAAACAACAATACTGATAAGCTTTAAAGCCTTAAAGTGAATTAGTTTCAAAAGAATTTGAATATACTGTTAAAAGTCCCAGAGGATATTATAAGTAAGTCAGAAGGTTGATGGTATTAAACCTGGATACCCTATTTGGTTTTACCAACCTCAATCCAAAGTCAATAACCAGGTGTGGGAGTTGCAGCTAAACAATCAACTAAGAACAAACCATTCGATTGACTGGACAAGTTGGAATTAATAACGTCAATCTTTAACAGTTTGTGATCTGAGAGTTCTCTCTTCTTTTCCTTTCTACCATATTCTATCAGAAAGAAGCATGAAGTAGGCAAGTGGAGAGGGACAAGCCCAATCTTTGCAGATGAAGACTGTTATCTAACTAATAAGTTTCCTATGTGTTGCCTTCCTGATTTTCTCGATAAATTTCCTCTTTTATCCCTTTCCTTCTGTCTTTTGATCATCTTTTAGAAGGGAGTGGAAGGTAGATTTGTGAATGATTTCCTATACAAATTGGTAGCTTGTATGTGTATGATGGAGGAAATTGATTTTGCTCTTGACACTGGTCATTACTTTCTCTGAAACCTGGCTCATAGTTATCAGATACTACTTTGTTAGTGGTTTTGTCTATAGACTAATAAGAGTCGTACAATGCTGACATTTGGCAGTGAGAAGGGAAATTAAAATATTGAGATTGTTCATGCATCCTCACATCATTCGGCTGTATGAGGTTGTAGAGACACCATCAGATATATATGTTGTGATGGAGTATGTGAAATCTGGTGAGCTGTTTGATTACATTGTGGAGAAGGGCAGACTACAAGAGGATGAAGCTCGTAAATTCTTCCAGCAGGTGGAGATATGACCTCCTTTCTGAGTTTTCTCATGCTGTTTACCTATTAATTATTAATGGTACTCTTATTCTTCAAACACAGATAATCTCTGGTGTGGAGTACTGCCACAGGAACATGGTGGTTCATAGAGATCTTAAGCCTGAGAACCTCCTTTTGGATTCCAAATGGAATGTGAAGATTGCAGATTTTGGGTTGAGTAATATCATGCGTGATGGTCACTTTCTCAAGACAAGTTGTGGTAGCCCAAATTATGCTGCGCCGGAGGTACTGTTGCATATAAAATGAGTTGATAATAATATTATTTAGGTCCTTCCCAATATCATGGTACACTGCTTAAAAGTTTGCTTCATTACGATCTTCATTTCTCCATGTAGGTGATATCAGGAAAGTTATATGCTGGACCTGAGGTAGATGTATGGAGCTGTGGTGTTATTCTATATGCTCTTCTCTGTGGCACCCTTCCATTTGATGATGAAAACATTCCCAACCTCTTTAAGAAAATAAAGGTATGCAATTTGTCTGGAATCCACTATTATTAGGTGTTGATCTTCATACAGTTGTTTCGTGAAATGGCTGATGATTGACCCTTGGCGTGACCACATAGAATCGTAGGTTCCAATCTTGGAAACAAAGCTAATTTTCCACATATCTAATGCGTATAGACATTTGAATTGGACAGAATTATTTTTGGTGGGACTGAAGTGAATGCAAAATTTGGCCTCATATCCTACTTTAGGTATTAAATACGTTATTAGTCAGATACTTTCGTGTAGCAAAACTTTTCATTGGTCTGGCAGAACATACTAATGTTCTATCCCAACTTCAGTTTATGGTCCAATATTTTATTTATAAACTTTGTCCTTCCAAATTAAAAACAAAAAAAGGAATTGTCCAAGTGTACATAGTTCATGTGTTGAAGCTTCTCTCTCAACTAATTACTATTCATGTTTATCTGTGTACTATATGTCTTTAGGGTGGTATGTATACTCTGCCCAGCCATTTATCAGCTGGTGCAAGGGATCTGATCCCAAGGATGCTTATAGTTGACCCTATGAAGCGAATGACTATTCCTGAGATTCGTATGCACCCTTGGTTCCAAGCTCATCTACCACGCTATTTAGCTGTACCTCCACCAGATACGATGCAACAAGCGAAAAAGGTTTGTTGGGACCAACATCAAATGTATTAATGGTTTTAGTCTTTCAAGTTTTTGCTTTCTGCATTTCTTACAGTTCTGTTTTGTGCTTATCATATGAAGAGCTTGCATCTTGACAGAGCCATCATATGGTGGGAATGTTGAGAATGCATTCTAGGATGCTCAGATAGCTAAACGATCAACTTAAGCAACCTCTATTTCCCTATTTGCTTATGCATCTTTGTTGCCTTTAAGGATGTTAGACTATCTCCTTATTCTATCTACCCTGCCCTTCTTCCCAGAGAAAAAGAGTGAAGGAATGGTTAAAGAGAAAGGAAAGGTAATGCTCATTTAGTCTTGCATCTGAGTTTGAATAAGTTTAACAATTGTTTTGGAAAACTGAACCTTGGGGAAGTTGAGAGTTGCTTTGCAACGTTCTTGTTATAAGAGCACATTGCTCTGCTTTCAATATATAATAGCTAAAAAGAAAGGGGGGGAAATCAGACTTTGTTAGGACAAATGTCAAATTTGTCTTGCTGAACCCGATTCCCTTTAAATGCTTGAATATGATATCCTTATTTATCAATCCAAGCGTCGTTTATCTTTTGATACAAGAACAGAGTCCTTTCCTGCTGTTTCAGTGATCTGGTATTACGAATCTTCACTCACCATCTGGCTGTTATATGATATCTAGGGTCTTCTTAGCATTCAATTCACAATTTTACAGCTTTAAATACTGTTATGAATCAGATAATCTTCCCTGGTAAATTAAAATATTTAATTGCAGATTGATGAAGATATTCTTCAAGAGGTGGTCAAAAGGGGATTTGACAGGAACAGTCTTGTTGCCTCTCTCTGCAATAGAGTTCAGAATGAGGTTGTGTTACGGATCCAACCATCTTCTTTCTTTTTTTTTTTTGGTTAAAATAATCTGAACAGCCAGTTTGACATTTTTCAATGTTTCAGGGTACTGTGGCGTACTATTTGCTGCTGGACAACCGCTTTCGTGCTTCCAGTGGCTACATGGGAGCTGAATTCCAGGAGACTATGGTGCGTTTTGCATGTTTTTGTTGAACGAATCTGCAGTATCTTTGTGATCTGTTTCAGTAAACAAGGAGCGCATTTTCTTACCAATTTGTAATGGACCTCTTCCCTAAAAATATGGTGTTTTGAGCATCTAATTATTTAGTTAAGCTGCATTTTTCTAATCCTATCTTTTCTCTGAAACAATTTTGCTTATGGATGTTTTAATATGCCATTACAGGAATACGGTTATCATCAAATAAATTCAAGTGAAGCTGTTGCTTCCCCTGTTGGGCAACACTTGCCTGGAATAATGGATTTTCAACAAGTTGGTGCGAGGCAGTTTCCCGTCGAAAGGAAATGGGCTCTTGGACTCCAGGTTTGTGGACTTTCAAGCAAGTCACTATACATTTATCTTATTTAGTTATTACCATAAAAATGTGCGGAAATTGGTTCTTGTTAACCAGTGGAGGGAGGGAAAGACAGTGTTTGAGAACTTGGTTCTTCATAGGTTCATGTGGAACGTGTATCAAAATTCTTACGAACATCGAGAAGATCTTGATTCATCGGTCAAAATCAGTTATTGTTCCATTTATGACATTTGCCAATTGAATGAGTTCTCAATTGAACTCCTTTAACTCAATCTAGGTCTTTATTCTGATAAACAATATGCTACACCGTTTGTTTTGGCTTTGCATTAGTCTCGAGCGCATCCACGTGAGATAATGACAGAGGTTCTGAAAGCTCTGCAAGGACTGAATGTACGTTGGAAGAAGATCGGACCCTACAACATGAAATGCCAATGGGTTCCTGGCGTACCTGGCCATCATGAAGGCATGAGTAATAATTCCATACACAATCCATTCTTTGGAGATGATTCAACCGTCATTGAGAACGGTGGTGTCACTATACCTAATGCAGTGAAGTTTGAAGTTCAGGTAATGAATATCCTGCCATCTGTATCTAGATTTCATATGACCGTGAAGCGCTACGGTATATGGTCGTATGATGCTGCTTTAGCCTTTAAGACTGTGTTAAGAAGATTTTGCATATTTTTACATGTAGTAATATATGATTTAAAAGTGAAAAGTCCCACATACAAGGGTTTAAAAGAGTTAGAGAACCCAACAAAAAGTATGATTATCTTGAAGGTCATTGGATAGTCTATGTTGTGGCATACAAATGAATGTTAGAGCTCAATTATGATGTAAACAGCATCAAATAATTTTTATTTTTATTTTTGATAAGCAAACAACACAGAATAAATTAGGTGAGAAAGAAATCTTCTCCATGTAAAGATGGTGAAGTATAATGTCCATGATCGGTGGACGGCTTACTATGGAGGTCCTGAAGCAGATTTTGTGAGTGCTGTTGTGTGTTTAGAGCATATCCCTGAATTTCAGTGAATTAATTGATGTTTGTGGCATTGTTTCAAATTTCTTGCTTGATTTTAGTTAGTATTCCAGTATGTTTTAGAAGCAAATCTGGATAGATTTTACTTAAAGCACAAACCTTACTGAATAATATAGTCTTGGACTTCTATTGAAGGTCTTGTGTTAGTATTTCTCTCTTTTGAACACTATAATCCAGTTAGTCTATGCTGTGGTGCTTGAGTGACAGTACATTGTTTGGATGACCCTTTTTCTCTTTTATACTGCTTTAAATATCAGCTAATCAGCTTGGATATTGTTGAAATTCCTTTAAACTGAGTTCTTTTAAATTTGTGAACGATTGCAGCTTTATAAAACTCGGGAGGAGAAATACCTGCTTGACCTTCAAAGAGTACAGGGTCCACAGTTCCTTTTCTTGGATCTCTGTGCTGCTTTCCTTGCTCAGCTTCGGGTTCTCTAAAGTCTGGCAATCTTAATCTAACCTGGAAAACTATTGATGCTTGCCTAGAGAGCTAGTCCATGTATATAATTGGTATACCAGCTCAGTTACAAAAATTTCTGTTGCTAAATTCCACCCTGTTTTGTCAGAGGTGCCTAGCAAATCTTTTTGTCGACTCTCTAGGAGTTCTAGCTTTTCCCATCTGTAACGTGCTTACTATAGTGTTCTATTGTTCTCGGTTTCCTGGTGTTCAGTTAACAGACTGAACTAATGGGAAGCATTCACAAGATGAAGAGTCATTTGACACCTTTTGTATTGTTTGGCTTTAATTTATTAGTGTGCTCTCGTGCACCTCTCTCCTACTTAATTTATTATTCTTTTAGGTTTCAGAGGATTTTCTTTTCTTTATGTTCTGACAATCTGTAAGTTTACAGACCTTGATCACTCTAAGATAAAACCACTTTATGATAATATTTAGACAATATGTTGCGTAAGAACATGATAATTTTGAGATGAAATGAGGCTTCAAGAACATAGTAATAGTTTTCGAACTTCATATGTGCTTCCATTATATTAATTCGAAAAATGTAAACAACAATGTCCCTTTTTCTTTTTATCCACATACAACTCATTGGAAAACCATGAGGAATTGACCTAATTCAAATTTGAAGAGATCAAAAGTTGGACAATAAGTCGCACATTATATTCCACAAACCAACTCGTATGAATTCTAAGATAACATCTAGATTTTGCTTAAGATGCATTTTGTTTTGCCGAGACCAAGATCAGTCAGTGTCTACTGATCTTGAAAAAGATAAACGAGAAGAGAGAGTAATCTTCATCTTGACCCTGTGAAAACAAAAGTTACCTGATCAGACAACTACTAAAAAGAACAGAAATCAAGAAAATCCCTACAACAATGGTTGTTGTTTTCTAAGTAAAAAAGGCGCATATTGGTGGTAAATCAATTGAGCTCCAGAGAGACAATTCACTTTCATAAGTAATCGAACTTTGAGAAGTGCATTCAGTTTCCTTTCTTTCACCCATTTTTGTGCTAATTCCTTCTTCATTAATTTTCTTCTCATCCTCTTCCTCCTCTTTACGATTCCTTTTGCATGCATTTCTGAGTCTGCTTAATTGTTCACATCTTTCTCTCTGCACAACTCCTCCTGATTTCAGCTTCAACTTTAAGCATTCTGTAATCCCATTGAATGCATAAAGTGATGCTGAGAATTTCCTCTCGTAATTCATCCTCCTCATAGCCTCACTTATACATGACTCGTCTCCGTAAAATATCCCCTGCTGATCCATTGTGTCTGTTGAATTAATCTCTTCAGCTATCTCAAATGGTGAATAATAACATGACGATCCAATTTCATCAACAAAGTGGAAATTAATTGGCTCTACATCTCCTATATCAGTACTATCATTTTCCTCTTCAATCTCTTCTTCGTCTTCCACAAGATTATTATTAATCTCTCCACCACTCCAGTTAATTTCATCGCTTTTCATCACAGGCTGAACTATGCTGTAATCGTTTTCAGTCAAGCATGCCTCCAAGGTGTTTGTGAAATTGTTCGTGTTAATTGCACTCGTATTGCTTATCATGTTGTTATCAGTTATCTGATCTTCAGGGTCTTTGAGATACTCCATAAACTGTGAATCCGAAAAATAAGCTGTTTCATCTCTGTATTCCTCTAACTGTTTGTCCTGATCATGAATTTCCACAGGCTCAGAAGAAGCAGCAGAGGTAGCTGCAGCTAAGGAATTATTTCTAGCTTTGAGTCTATTAAGAAGAAGGTTGGTAATTTTTGAAGGAAGAGCTGGAGTAGAAGAAGAAGATGAAGAACTAGGCCAAAAATTTGTTCGAGTATTGGCTCCACGAAGTAAACAAGCAGCTTCATCATATGCCCTTGCTGCTTCTTCAGCTGTGTCAAAAGTCCCTAACCATACTCTTATCTTTTGTATGGTGTCTTTTATTTCAGCAACCCATCTACCTGATGGCCTCTGTCTAACACCCACAAATCTTTTTCGTGCTCGCCGCGCTCCCCCGAGCGCGGCTGCAGCCGCTGCTTCCTTTACCATCTCGTTCCAGGCTGCATTCCCAGCTTGATCATCATTGCGAGTTTTATTTTCACCAAGTCCCTCACTGGCCCGTCTTTTCCTTGCCATTTTGCGAATGTTAAGTGTTGGGATAAGTAAAATTAGATAGATCACAAGAGTGAAGAATTGTGAATTAAAGTCATGGATTTGTGATAGTTTTTATGCAGAACTAGGTTGGTGAAATGGTATGTATTTATATGAAGAGAGAAGGGAAGATCCTGTCAAATGATAAATAGAGGTAGGAAGTTTCTTTGCACTTGTTAAGATGGATTTTTTTGTTCTTTTTTTAATTATTTATGCTTCTTGTGATAACATATGGAGGGTTTCTGTTTGTTATACAGAAATCAAGAATAAAAAGGATTAAATTTGGAGAGGGAGTTGTAAATAATAAGATTTAATAGTCAGTTTGACCCAGCCAAAGAGTGCAGTTTCTTGATTCTTCTTCTTTGTTTATGTTTTAAGAGATGTAACTTGTTTTCTAGGATAAAGTATGCGGCATGAGTTGGTCACTACAATATATGTCACTTGTCTTCTTATTATATAAACTACAACATGAAGATAATTAATTCAGATTATATGTCACTTATCAATACATTTATTAATAATTTTTTTTGTTTCTGATCTTCAAGGCGATTGACATTGAAATTATCAGTTATGAAAGAGACTTGGTGCATCATTGTTCCGTGCATGAAACACACAGGAAACCATGGTGCAGAATGATGCTTAATTGATCATCTCCTCAAAATAGCCATTTGGTCATTTACTCTTCGGCACGCTCTCATGTTATTATTTGCCCTATTTAATGAGTTTAAGTAATATACATTGTCGGTGTACAAATCAGGTCATCTTTACCTATTATAGCAGATCATAAGTTGAGATTATAAATCTTCATTTTAAGAAGGCTTATCCATAAACATTATTTTGACGACTTAATGGTATAAAAATAATTGTATACACTGATGATATTGTATAATACTTTGTCATTAATTCTATTTTAACTGGGAATATTTTTGTGTGTTATGTTACGTGTTCAAGAGAAGATAACATATGTGACACTTTCACGGCCAAAATATTGTACTACATTCTAAGAATTAATTCATAAATTATCTTATAAAAGTAGTAGTTGTGTTTGTGCTGAAACTATAAAAGTAGTTGTACATGTATCTCTTGCAGGGGCGGATTTAGGGGGGCGGAGGGGTTCATCCGAACCCCCTTCGTCGAAAAATTACACTGTATATATAAGGCAAAATATATTTTTTACCTCTATATATTAAGTTTTGAACCCCCTTGACATAGTCCAAAAGTGTAGGTTAGTGATCAAGGGGTTCAAAATCTTTGAAAGGTCATAGGTTCGATTCCCACTAGCTATGATCTTTTTTTTCTTGAACCTCCTTCGCAGGAGATCCTGCCTCCGCCACTGGTCTCTTGTCTATGATTCTTATGATACCATGCAGTTCCTTGATCATATGTTAAAGATAATGTTGAGATATTTGAAATCGAACAACCGAATTCCTTGATGTTTTACCAACTAATAGCGGCGGAAATAAAGCTTTTTAAATTTAATCGCACAAAGCTAATTCTAATGATACATTGCAGTTCTTTGATCATGTGTTAAAATTTTTGGGCAAATTAAAAGTGCTCATAAGTTGAATAATCATAAGTTAAAGGCTAGGGTAACCAACTTTTATTTTTCGGTGATTTGACTTATAAGCACATGACTTATTTGCATTTTGATTGCGCAAATAAATTAAAAGGTGCTTATAAACGAATGAAATTGCGTAAGTTAAAAATGATTTTTTTGTTGGATCGATGCCCCGAGGGACCACAAGTTGAAAGGTTAATAACTAAACTTTGTATGACTAGCCGAACAAAAATCAGTAAAGTTTTACTTATGCCTTTTGCTTTTGATTCATGTATATGATTAACTGAACAGTCAAAAACATATGTTTTACAGAAAAAATAAATAGAAGAAGAAACTTAACAAAGAGCAATTTGTCAATTCCAGATGTAAGGACAAAGGAAATTGAGCTCCCCAAAGCGGCCAACGATAAGCCAGTGGACTCCCTCCCCATCATTAGCCTCAATCTTGAGTTCACTGCTGGAGTTTAAGTTTTATACAATGATAATATAAAAATATTTATACAACCAAATCAGTTAAAAGGTAGTGTATGTAACTTTATTTGAACAATATTCTTTATAACAAATGGTAATTAAGTAGTTTATACACCAATAATTTGTTAGAAAAAAACATTACAAATTGTTCACTACCTTTTTTTTAAAACTCAAACATACAAATTGCTTAACGCGATGCCAAATTGGTGGATTTCTTCAAAGTCTTTTCAAAAATCAGGGATAGAGAAAGGAAAAAAAGAAAAGAAAGTAAGACACAGAAGAATGAAGAAAATGGTTCCTTTTGTTAGGGGTGTACACACCTAACCGTAAAATCTCACCAAATCGAAAAGTCAAACCAATAAAAAACTCGACTAGGTTTGGTTTGATTTGGTTTGGTATTGAGTAAAAAAACTCGAACCAAACCGACATATAAATATATAATTTATATATATACTTTTAAGATTTTATATATAATTTTCTTTAAAAAATATCTAGAAATATTTGTGATTCTCTTCCGGAATATAATATTTAATAGAATATGAAGTGCTCCATATTTATTAACCCTAAATAATGGGTTTTATGATCGCTTTCTCATCAAGTGTTACTGAAATTCGTTAATCTCTTTGTTCTTTCATATTCATATCATATGTTAAGATCTATTAAATTCTTATATATTTTTCAAATGTGAAGTGATTATTATTAATTAGGTATCATATTGATTTTTATGTTTAATTACTAATTTGGTTAACTATGAAAGCGTGCATCAACGAAAAATTATTATCGAACGATTAAAAATAACTATTATGTGTTATTAAGAAAATTCTCTCATAAGAATAATTTAATAGACAATATGTTTGTCAATTTTTTCTATTTTTACTAAATATATATTTATTTATCAAAAATTTAACAAAATAAAATTAAAATAATATTTAAGTAACAAAAAACCTGAAAACCCGATAAAATTGAATCAATGTTTGGTTTTGATCTTTTCTTTTGGCGTCTAACGCCTATAGACAAACAACAAAAGGCAAAACAAAAAACAGCTTTAAAAGGCGACAAAGATGTCCCTTGCGTCTGGTTTCATTTATTTCATTCATTGCTAAATAGCCGTAAAACTCCCACTAGTAGTTGAATGCCAAGTGGAATACATAGGTATGGTGGAATAATTAAGA